AATTAATATTACAGAATAATTTCAAACATTAGGAAATACATAATGTGTGTATAGATATTTTAACTATAGGAAAGAGATACGTAAATATCTACCTGATTATGAACAAACAGATTTGCAAATGACCATGCATACATACACAAAATACTGTTAGACATATATGTCTATTTACGCAATGATATACACATACAAGGAAAAAAATTGATTGAATTGTTTGAAACAAGACATTTTAAATGAAACAAATTATTAACAGAATAATACAAAGGAGGAGCAGATGTTTTCAAAGCTGATTGAATTAACTTCAAAGTACTTCACAAGGGAAGCAAGAAATTATGATTAAGTTCAAATCTAGGAAACAAGAGGGAGGTGAAAGAAACAGTAAGAAAAAAAAACCAAATAAGGGGATATTTAGAGAGGTTTAAAAATGGGAAAAGAAACTATAATTGGAGGAGAAGAAAGAAAAAGAAAAAAAAATGTTATATGAAGACAGAAACTCACATCAATTCAAACTGTGTATATATATATATATATATATATATATATATATATATATATATATATACACACACACACACATATATATATGTGTGTGCATATATATATATGTGTGTGCATATATATATATATATATATATATGTGTGTGCTTGTATGTATGTGCATATATATATATACATATATATTTGTAACCAAATATAATCGAATAAATTTCAAAAATGGCTTTCAAAGTTTGAAACTTGATTCAATTCACTTTTGGAAATTGTCAAAGCATAATAAAATATCAGGAGCATTTTGAATAATTTATTATTGATACGATGCAACCAACATCAGCTTCCTTCCCCTTTCAGGGATAAAACAAGAAATAAATCCAATTATATTTTAACTCCATTCAAAAGGATTTTGTGTCAAGAAAATGATTTTAATAGCTGGTTCTTAAAGAAGAATAAATCAATTTAAAAATCTATCAGTAACTAATCTCTTTAATTTTACAAATAATATCAAATATTCCCCCAAGGCGGGTTCTATTTTTCTTTCATGGGCCTGTAAAATTAGTTTCCTGTCAAGACTATAAGGACCTAAGAATCAACAAGACTGCTGGAAAAAATTTAATAGGAAGAATTCTTAAAAGAAAAAGTTGAATTCGGTACTGCAGGAAATATATGACAGTTTCTTAGAACTTTATGATGGTTAATTTTGTTTTTAATTACATCTTTTATAAATTCTGTGAATGATGAATATTTCTTTTTAAACATTATAAACAAATGTAAAAGAACTAAGAAATTTCTTTAAAAATTAAAACCATTTGCTACACCTTCAAAATCTTAAATTTTCTTATAATATCAATAGATTTGTTTTCAGTAATTTTAGTACCGGAATTGGAACCTTTGGTTTTAATTGTTGTATAGTATATTCTTCTTACTTTTAAAAAAAGAGAGATGAGTAAATAATTATCATTATTCTAGTCATATTTGACATCTAATATAAATGAAGTCTTTAACAATTACTCATTTTGTGATCAAAAAGAATGAGAAAATAAATGATAATGTCAATGTTTCATGCTCTAAGGAATATGTAGATTTTCAGATTTTAAGAGTATGATGATAAAATGAGCCAGAATCTAAAAACATCAACATTTATGAATTTAATTTTCAAATATGAATCCGAATTGTCCAATTAATCAACACATTTTGATAAAATTTTTGGAATATATTTATATGATAAATGTTTAGGACAAAGTATTATTTATATGATGAATAAGGGAATGTCAACATTATTTTTATTAGAAATATTTAAAATAATTTATTGATGATATGAAATTTTATTATTGTAACTCAAGTATAGTTTATTATATTATAAATAAATATATATAATAATGTAGTTATTGATATTTATTTTTAATTTTCAGTTATAGCCTCAACAGGGAAAAATAAAATAATTTAGTTATTGTTGGAAAGTGAGAAAAAATTAAATAAAGATCATAAAACAAACAAGAAAATCACTATCTACTGTTCTCTTGATTACTCTTGTCTCTTTCTCTCACTGTTCATTAATGTTTCTGTTCCTAATTCTTCCACACCCTGTAACCCCTTGCATTTGAATGGCTTTACTGCCTTGCTTGGGGTGATATTGATTAAAAAGAATAAATAAATAAATTGAAAATATTGGCAAGATAAGAACAAAATAATTAGCTTTAGGAATATCACAAAAAGATGTACTAAGCAAAAAACTGAGCTGAGCAAAAAGAAAATATTTGAAGAAACTGGATTTGCAAATGTAAAAAGCAAGAAAAGATACAAAATATTAAGAACATTAGATAAAGACATGTAAGCAGTTAAACAATCACCTTTAAGTTAATATCGCAAAGAGAAATGTATGAGTTGGGTGAAAACACATATGGAAAACTGATTTCTCAATTTTAATGATGAATGTGGAGCTAAATTGATGATTGGGCTGGAGATTGGGTTCTTTATGGAATGAGTCAAGGAACATTATTTAGAAGATAACAGGAGGGAGGTGGAGTACTGTTTTTGATTTTGATTAGTATTGTAGGCAATAAAATTATAAGTTGCTTCAAAGATGATGACAGTTTCAAGATAAATGCAGAGAATTCTTGTAAGTTCTTGTCCAAGATGTTTTTTAAGTGATAAAAGTTACAACCAAGAAGCTTTAAGTTAAAGAGTATATTCATATAGGAAAATGCTTCTTCACATTTTGCCCATCTTGCCAAAAATGGTTTAAATGAGACCAAATCAAAGAAATGCCAACCCAGCTTGTCCAGATAATAATCTAATAGAAAGCTTGTAGAGTCATCATTAAAAGATGTATTTGAAAATGGGAAACAATATTCAAGGAAAGATCCCACAGAATCTCCTGCATGAAATTTCAAAGTCAAAGCAGTAAAAAAAGTTAAGAAAATCAATGGTTGATTAACTGATACATGTTATACAATACCAACAATCTCATATTAACATGAAAAAATACTTAAATATATGGGATACTGTGTAAATTAAATGTTTCTTTCTATGACTTATACTTTCTGTATTTATTTTATTTGCACTTTGCATAACCTAATATTTCTAAAGCAAGTTATTGTTAATATTTTTGCTAAGGATAAACTGAAACAGATAGGATATATTGTTCATATAAATATATCCTGAAAACTTTATTATAAAAATATTGATGTAAAAAAACATTGCATTTTGTTCAAGTTGACCTAAGCCATGAGAAAAGTGCTTTATGCAATGAAACAGAAACAAAAAAACCCTCTGTTGCAACGTAGCCTAAATGCAGTGTGATTAAAAGCAGCAAAACACCATCTTCATTACATGGGTCATTACGGCAGAGCAGCTATAGAGATGCTACTTCTAAAAGCAATCAATATTTAAGAAACAAAGACAGATTGTAATGGGTGATTGACATAATAGAAAGAATTTTACAGATGAGTCCCAATTTGCTAAACAGTCAACAAATATAAGTTGGGAGGTTTGCTAATAATTCTGTTTGAACTGCCTACAGCTTCCTATTAAAAATGGTAAATTTTTATTTATTGCATAAAGAACAATAAACATGGTTCATTCAAAGATTTGGAAGTACATAATATATATATATATATATATATATATATATATATATATATAAATCACTGGTGGGTCTTAAGTGCCACTTAAGATTATCGCACAAAATTCCCAACTGAATCACTTGGTTAAGTTGTTAGATCCTCATATGCGAAACCGACATATATATATATATATATATATATATATATATATATATATATATATATATATATATCACTTTAAATGTTATTTTTAGGATTTTTGAATAAATGCTTCTAATGCTCCAGTCGGCACGGCTTGGTGAGAGTAGTCGTGGCTCCGGGGGCACAGTCCTCACGGTTACAGAGAACTCAGTAGAGTTCCGCCACGGAATATGTGAGCGAGCAGCGCTAGTTGAGTCTGATTAGGAATCTCTTCGTTACCGAGGCCCATTTGGTACAGTTGGTATGTTGTTCGCTTGACAACCCAACTGTCAGGGTTTCGATACTTGGTGGTGGATCGCACTGCTGATGAGTCCCAATTATAGGACGAAACGGCCATCCAGTGCTTCTCTATTTCCTGTTGAGGTTTCTATCAGACTCAATGAATCAATTAAATATATATATATATATATATATATATATATATATATATATATATATATATATATATATATATATATATATATATATATATATATATATATATATATATATATATATATATATATATATATATATATATATATATATATATATATATATATATATATATATATATATATATATATATATATATATATATATATATATATATATATATATATATATATATATATATATATATATATATATATATATATATATATGTATATATATATATATATATATATATATATATATATATATATATGTATGTATATATATATATATGTATATATATATATATATATATATATATGTATATATATATATATATATATATATATATATATATATATATATATATATATATATATATATATATATATATATATATATATATATATGTATATATATATATATATATATATATATATATATATATATATATATATATATATATATATATATATATATATATATTGTGACATGCGATGAAAGCAGATAGCCTAAACACGCATATATTAGGGTTACTTTCCGCCTAGCAACAGAATAAAGGTCACGTGGGAGTCTTATGACATTTTGGGAAGGCAGGTCAAAAGGTTGACTGACCCAATTACCCATAGTGACAAATGTCTAGACAGAAGCTAGAAAGGGGACGGATGTAAGCTATAATTCGCGCCAAAACTTAAGACACGTGACAGTCAAAGATTCACTCGAGAATTAGTTGCTATCTTGACATTGAAGAGGCAAGACCTGAAGCCGAAGCGCTGATAGTTTATGGACAGAAAGATAAGACGCATTTGATAGTGATGGAACTTATCCAGTTTAACCCAGGCAACTCCAGACAAGAAGTATTCCTGTTCGATAACCCCAAATTGATGACGCAGAGAACTTTATATGCTTCAGTCTGTGTTTAAATAAAAAGGAGAAACCAGAGAAGAAAGTATATACCTCTGTTACAAGTTGAATTGTGTAAAGAAAAGAAAACGGATATTCAGAGAGGAAAAAAGTGTATACCTCTGTTACAAGTTGAATTGTGTAAAGAGAAGAAAACAGATATCCAGAGAGGAAGAAAGTGTATACCTCTGTTACAAGTCGAATTGTGTAAAGAAAGAAAAAGGAAAACCAGAGAAGAAAGTGTATACCTCTGTTATAAGCTGAATTGGGTAAAGAAGGAGAAGGAAAGAAAGAAGAAAACCAAAGAGAGGAAGAAAGTGTATATCCCTGTTGCAGTAAATCGGGTTTGGAAACCGAGCTGTCTACAGAAGAAAAGGAAGGAAAGAAAAAGGCGAGACAAAGAGAGGAAGAAAGTGTATACCTCTGTTACAGCCGGACAGTGTGTGAAATTGTGTTTGTGTCGAGAAAAGAAAAGAAAGGACATTGATATAAAAAAAAGAGAACTGACTATAAAAGATAAGTAATCATATTTTGGAGCCGTAGTAGAAAGATATACATATATCCATGAATATTATGTTTTTGCAAACACATTTCCACATGTAAAAAAATAATTATAACTCCTATCCCATCTCTTCTGTGTGTGCGTTGGCTTCTGCATTCAATTCAATTCATAGTAATTCATACTTATATTTTTGTATGTTCGGGTTCAGTTGAATCCATTTGGTATCGGGCGAATTTTGATATCCAAACGTAAGTTTGAGATCTGGTCGTCGAATGTTTTAACTCATACTTATCTGTTCTTATATTTTGATATTTGTATATTTGTACATATTAAAATTCTTGTATCAAAAATAGCTAAGCCTTATAGTTCATCCTTACATTGTGGATCAGTATTTGTGTTAAAAACGAAGCGGACCTGGGAAAGATTACTGTTCGATTATCCCAATCGAACAGTGGTCTTAAAAGTATTTTTGTTTACCAATTGTCCATTCTGACGATCTGGGAGAGATAGCTTGTATCTCTCCACAGGTGTGAGAATGTATATATCTCCTAGTCGGCGTATGATCGCCCTATAAACCCATTCATCGACTGGGGCATATGACAATATATATAACCTACAAGAGTTGTTTCTCATAAATATTAACTAATTATTTAGAGAAAGCTGCAACTTTTTTTAATGCCAAAAAGGAACCTAGAATGACATGTGTAAAAATGATCATGCGATTCCTGACTCAGTGTCATTTGGAATAATGCAAAAGAAAATTTTCTTTTGACAATGCTTTACTGATATTTTCCTTTTCCTATATCATAGGCGAAAATAGCAGAGTTGATAAATTTTATGTCTCAGAGTGTAAACAGTTAAACTTTCCCAGTAGGAAAGTTTGCAAAATTTTAATTTGCATTATAAAATATAATAGAATTATTTAGATTGTTGAATAAGAGTCTCTAAAAAATGTAGATGCCTATTTATTTCTTGATTTTGTATATTCCGTACATAAATTATTTGTCTATATTTCTGAGATGAGGTATTATGTACACTATTTACATTGTTCCATGTGTCCTCAAGAACACATGGCACAGTGGATAAAGGTGTTAGTTAGATCCAGTGATAGGTCCCAAAGCGTGTAAGCTCAATACCTGGCTAAGGCAGTGGAGAACTTGGAGAGGGGAATTAACAGGAGATAACTGATAACTGACATCCATTAGACATGGCACATGGAACTAGAACAGTCTACTCCAGCAAGCGAAATAAAGGGTTCAGTTTGACATTCCAACCACCTGAAGGAGGCCGAAGTGTATAACGGCCAAAACGTTATAAATATGGCAACAAAGATGAGGTTGATAGACCGAAACAATGTAAATAGTGTACATGAATTATTAGTTTCCATTTGGGAAATTTGTAGAATGAAAAATGGTTAATTTTTTTTCTGAAACAGAGGAACAAAGATGAAACAGGAAATACTAACTTTATATTTCTCTTCAAGAAGTGTTTTATGCTAACGGTAAAAAGAAAAAGTTTAAGATTTACTTAATATAAAATTATAACATAATAAAGCAAAATAATAGCATCATTAAAGAAAGAATTTGAGATTTTGTTTCTCTTGTTACTCAACACATAAACTGATCTTCCATGTGAAAATGAATAAAGATATATAACTGAAAATCTAATATTTGTGAAAAAAAAATCAATAAAAATTCCATTAGAATCCTAAGTTGATATTTTTTCTCATTTCTATTTCATGTCTGTTCATGCTAATATTTTATTTATTAATGTTTTATTTATACCATTATATACTAATATTATCACTTTTACCAACATTTTTCAGTCCTCTTATCTTTCAATGTTGTTCTCTGTTATTCAGATTTAATTGTCCTCGACTCTTATGTCTCTGCTTGTAGAAACCAATGTTGCATGGGCTTATAGGTGTTCTGAACCTTTTCTGACATGGCTGTTTCATCTTTTAAAATTTGTCTTCAAAGATTTTTGTTAATTTTTAACATCAACCTTCTGAAAGATATTTTTATCTTATAAAATTTATATATTTTATTTAGCAATGCTTCTTGAGAAATATTAATCATCCATTGTATATAAGCAAATTACTTGAATTAAAATTTGGAAAACAGATTTTGATTTGTAGCAGAATTGTTCAAGACAATATGTATTGCTTATGAGAAAACTTTAATAAACACTGCATTCCAGCAGAGTTCTTCTGAATATATGTGTTCAGGACATATTCATTAATGGGGGAGATGGATCATAAAACATTCTCTGCTGCTGAAGAAGTCCCTGAATCAAGCAGACATCTTTTGCCATCTGCAAGGCCATGGTGTATTGCCAGGAGCATGATTAGGTTCTTGCTCTTTCTTGCTAGAACTGGATTTAATCCTGCTGCATTTTCATAAACTTATACAAGTGGCTTGCTCTTCCTCTGAAATATCAGTATATGAGTGGGCTCTCTTCTGTGAAACTTGTTTGCCACTACTTGAGGGACCAGAGCTCAAGGGTTCCTCATAATCTTCAAAAGGAGACCATATTTCTGTTTCTTCATAGTCAGTTAAAGTGTTTCACTTAGGCTTGTAGTTCTTGATTCATCCCCTGATGGAGCAAAGTCTCTTAGTGAGATTGTGTATTTCCATCCACCACGGTAATGGGCATGAATATACTGGGGGTTGCTATCAAGAAGCTCCATTTGATCCACCAATGATTTGTTCTTATTCAGTCATGTGTGTTTTTAGTAATATCACTATGGATTTTGAGAGCCAAGATAGTAGAGATGCTCCAGTTAAACTTCTTCTAGGAAAGGGGAGGAATCATTCATGGGGGTGTTGCATTTTAGTGGTGGTGCATAGCAACATTCTAATTGAATGCAGGGCTTCTGGAATTAGTTGTTCCCAATTCTCTAAAGCTATCCCTTTATCAGCAGCTGCTAGTTGAACAGTTTTCCAAATTATTCCATATAATTATTTCATATACCTCTCACACTGACCCAATATAGCCCTCAAGAACCCATATAACCTTTGAGGTTATATGGGTTCTCACAACCCCATATAACCTTTGAGTAGAACAACTCCATATAACCCTCAAGGGTTATATGGAGTTGTTCCACTTATGGCTACTCCTTGCTCTTGTAGGAACCATCATACATGTTTGGACATAAATGAAGTCACTACTATCCAAATGAATATACGCAGGTAGCAAAGACATCAAAAACTGAGCAAAGTGCTTGTATGACTGTTGTAGAGGATACATCAGGGCAGGGTATTGCAAAAGGAAACTGCTAATATTCATCAATTATTGTCAGCATATATTTGTTAGGAGTTTTTGATGGAAGTATTTCTTTAAAATCCAATGGGATTCTTTCATATGATTGCATGGCTTTTATGACCTTGCTAGTGTTAGGACAGTAAAACCTAGGTTTATTTTCAGCACCAGTCTTACACAATTTGGTGATTTCTTTCACATCCTATACTGAGTAGGGAAGGTTTTTTGATTTTTGTCATGTGGATCATACATGTAACACCTGGATGGTACAACTATCTATGTAGTTTCTTTAACACTTGTTTGCAAGCAGCTGAGATATAGACACGAAGGAGGGCATCCACAACTGCATTTTCTTTACCAGGGCAATATGTTACATCAAATGAGTAACATGAGAGTTCCATTCTCCACTTGCTTATCTTCTCACTTTCATTTTTGCTTGTTGCTTTCAAGTTGAACATGAATAAGACAGAATTGTGGCCTGTAATTAGTTTAAAATGTTACCTGATCAAATAATGCCTAAGCAATTTGACAATAACATAGGCTTCTTTCTCTATTGCAGAATGCCTACATTCTGATTTAGACAGTGTTCTGGAGAAAAAGGCAATGAGCCTCCCCAACTATCTTAAAGAAGCAACTATGGTACATTCTGAGGTGTCTATCTCTAGCACCAGAGGTAGTGTATGATCAGGCATAGTAATGGCTTCTTTTGCTACTTTTACTCATTAAACACTTTCTCTTCTATAAAGGATAATGGGAAGTTTGATACTGTTGTTAGAGGATGGATTTTGTCTGAAAATTGACAAAATCCAATGTGCATAGTGTGCAAACATTCCTAATGCACAGCACAGAGCAGGTAAATCTTTTGGGATTGATAGTCTGAGTAATAGGTTCAGACATTCTATATCAGGTTTTATGTTGTTTTTACTTATTATGTACCCAAGTAATTTTATATTTTTACATCTAAAATAACATTTGCCTTGGTTAAGTGTAAGCTTGTATTTTTTAACAGCCCCCATTTAAGATTTTTGTCATGTTCTACTCAATTTTTCCTGAAAATACTTACATTATCAATGTAAACATTGGTACCTTTTGATATTATCTGGCTTATCACCTATTGAAAACTAGCTACCCTGTGAGTCACGCTAAATGTTATTCTGCAAAATTGATAGACTTTGCCACTAGCCTCAAAGGCCATATAGGGTTTATTGCTGGGTCTTATACTTACCTTATGGTAGGCATTTTTAAGGTCCAGAATACTAAATAGACCATTTTTGGCTATTTTCTCTATCATGCTATCTATTCTTGGCAGAAAGTAGGCATCCAGCAAAGTAAACTGGTTTATTGTTTGGAAACAGCCAATTACCATTCACTTTTTCTGTTCTCAGAGGAGACTATGAAGGCTTGGGCTCTCCATGGCTAATCGCTGGGTTTGATTATTCTTTCCTTCAACATACGAGTAACTTCAGTTTGGATAAATAATTTAATCTCCTCTGTGTATCACCTAGATTTAGTAGCTACCAGTTTACAATCTGGTGTTAAATTGTCTAAGAGAACTGGGTACATTGACATTCTCATAGCTGTTAGGCTGCAGACTTTAAAGAGTGGCTCCAAAGGGTATTTCTACTAATGAATGTTGGCATAAGAAGTTGTGTCCTAATATTAGATTGCAGCATAGATCTTTCATTAGTAAATATCTTACACCTTGGTATAGAGTACCCTTTACTTGTAGACCAACTAAACAGTATCCAAGTACGTGTATGGAAAGAGATAAGCTAGCCATGCCACTTTGTTTAGGCATCGGTAAATTTTCCACAAATTTAGTTTCACAATGTTTGCATTAAGGAAACTTTCCATGTTCCTCATGTCAATCAATGCTTTTAGTAGCTGTTTGATAGCAGTAATTTCTATCATTGTAGTTGATAAGCAGTCAAATATATCCACTGATGCTGAACAAGTTACCGTTTTGGTCTCCTTTTTCTTACTTTTACAAACTTTAGCCTAATGTCCCTGCTTTTCACATATATAACAATTCATGTGGGGCATAATGATCTAATATGTCTCTTATCCCTGCAGAAAAAAACATATGCATTTAGTTAAGGCTGATATTTTCAAAGAGCCTAGTGTTTCATATGATTGCGTAAAATAGATATCTCTGTATCATAATTTTTAGCATTTTGTTCTGCTAAACTAGTACTCTTGCTTGGTGATAGGCCTGTAAATTTTAAGGTGCATTTTTCAAATTTTTTTTTTTGATATTTGTAGACCATACCCCATTTATGAAGGCATCTCATATCAATTCAGCTCAATATTGTTCCACTAATACCAAAGAAAATGAACAGTCCAAAACTTGATAAAATCTGTCAATGGAATCTGAGGACAGTTGATACCTTGTGTAAGTGTCTAGAGACGATTTCATTTTTCTTTTTAATGTAGATCCTTTTCAGTATTGTTAAAGCCACTTTGTAGGAAGATGATTCCACGAAATATTCATAAACTTATGCTGAGACATATTTGATGAGATAGCATAGCTTATTCAAACTTTGTTCACAGTACATACTCAAAAAGTTTATGAAAGTTACTCTCCAGTAACAATATTCCCATTAAGCATCAGCCATGTTGGGGTCAATAATAAGTTTCTCTGGATAGAGTAAATTAGCCATTTTTAAAATGGTTAACAATGAGAATTTATCAAATTGTAGTAGAATTGTTTGAAACAATATATATCAGTAAGCTTTAATAAACTTGGTATTTACCCAAGCTTCCCACAAGGCGGGATGTGGCACAAGACCAGTCTTTAATGTAGGGCTTTCTGAGTGCATACACTCAAGCAAAAATTTCCCATAGACCCTGCATACATGGGGTCAGGTTGCTGTCTACTTTTCCTCAAATGAGACTCTACCCATAGACACAGCCTTGTCTGAGTTCCCCTCTGCCCAAAAGCATAGTGTCCAACAAGCTGAGCTTTGATAAACTCTGCATACCAGCAGGGTTCTCCTGAATATATGTATTCAGGACGGATCCATTAATGGGGGGAGATAGATCATACCACATCATTATCATTAGCAAGAGAAGCTAAAGTTAACTATAAAAAAGTAAATATAAATACAAAACAAAAATCTTTAGATTACAACAAAAATTAATTTTTAATGTAATCAACTAATAAATTTTCTAATTTTGTTAAACTGTCAAAACAGATACAAGGAGGCATATTGGTGTATAGATCAATAGAACTAGGTCGTGATAGATTTATATATATAGGATCAATTAAATTTTTCAATTTTACTGCCTGCAACTGTTTATTGGATTTAAAATTAAATTCAAAGGTGTTTTTAAGTTCTTTGTCTAATCCAATTTTACTCTTTTCTAAAAATGACATACATAGGAAAAATCTTTGTACTAATAACTTCAGCATTCAAATGTCTTCTTTCCCATTGAAATGCCACAAGTAATTATTGATGGCCATGGTTTGGAGGATAAAACAAAAAAGTAATGTCAGCTATGAAAGATAGAAGTTATAAATGAAAAAGATGTGGAGCATTAATATAAATTAATGGTAACTGGCTCAATAAGTTTACCAAGATTAATGAAGATAGTCAGGAGGCAGTGGGGGGTGGTTGGCTGAGAACTGAGATTAACATACCAAATTCAAAGAAAAACAACAGCATATGACATCTGCATAGGTTTGCAGAACAAAACCTACATATAGACTTTGTATGAAAAATATATTGTCATTATTAAGTAACTAATAATCTTGTCCACCAAAAATATTAAGCCATATAGAATGAAGTAATTCTATTGGGAAAAACATGTTGGCAATAATTATGAGTTAATAGACAAAATATTCAAGAAAAAATTTCTGATGCACAGTCTTGTTGTTGATTTTGTTCTGCAAAAGGCTGAAAGTGACCAAATATATCTTACCTGTGAGTTTAGTGTTAATAATTCTAGGGCACACATCGTCGTAAGTTGACATCAGGTAAATAGTTCCAACCTTGAATGACAGGGCCAATGTGTACGTTTGTTGACTGGCTGCATCTGCAACAAGCAAATATAAATAGGAGATATTTCATAAGAAAAACATTGCTAAATTTTCAGGAAAAGTGTAAATAGAAAAGTAAAAGTATAAAACCTGGAGAAGAAACATTTGTAATTTCCTCTTGAGCATTGTAAAATTATATAACTTATTGGAATAGATTGAAATTTATATCCCAATATTTTTCATGTTACAAAACATGCAAATAAATTATGTTTTTAATACCATGTTGACATATAGGATGATCATTATTCTTCACAAATTCTGCTTTTGTGAATTGCCTTGACTGTTCTTGGGAAAGATAGGGGAGTGGTTTCCTGTTGCTTTCTCATGGTTTGGAATTCAAAATTTTATTTCTATTAGACTGGTTGCAACCAGAGGCTAGACAGTCCAGTCTACTCTGCTATTTAACTTGTAGCTTTGTCTGAGTGAAGCAAATGATTCATGCCTAACTGGGTGGGTGTGGGGGGATTTATGTGAAAGTGAATGCAGCAGTTCAGCCCAGATTTTGAACCTCTTTCACCAATTCCACTTTCTGTGCTGATATCCATTATTTGAAAATTTGTTTAAAAAAAGTACCATTCACAAAGTTGCAGCCCACATCAGCAGAAAGGGAACAGTTTTTTAATTAATGATTGTGAATATTTCAAAGTTTGTCCTTTTTAGATTTTTAAAACTATTATTTTATAAGGTGCAATAAGCCATAAAATTAATTTGGTTATGATGTATACCTCAGAAGAAGAGTAGCAAAAAAATAAGATGACTAAACCGACAACAAAAATTTGACAAATTATAAAACAAAATGCATATAATAATTAAAAATGCATTGAATAATGATATTTATCTTCATTTATGCAAATGTTTAACTATGCCACATTAGAACCTGATTTACTGTCCACAAACTAAAAAGTGGTATTTCTTTTTGAGCAATGGTTATCAATATATTATACTAAGTTCTATTTTGAAAACCAAAAATTCAATAAAAGAAGTATTTAACAAGATGTGACAATTTCCTTCTTTGAATGGCCCTGTAAAAGCAAAGTTTGCTTACCTGGTCATAACCATTACTAGAGTACTTTGAAGTTGACAGCAGCCAACAGTGGCCAGATAAGATAACTTTGTTTTCACAAGACCATTTCAAGAATTAAATTTTCAAAATTTGAGGCACTATCTCTGAGAAAGTGTTTCTCATTCCCAGATCCTCTGTTGGAATCTGTTGCACTATTCCAAATGTGGAGGGATACAAATGTTTGCCTAAATCATTAACATAATGCAGTAATATCAGGAATTAAATTGTTACACCTTATAAATCAATTCAACATGCCTAATCTCAAGCATTAGATCAAATTATTTTGCTTATAGCTTATATGTAATGTATGAACTGGCAGAAAATTGGAAGAGAGGACTTTTAGCTTTGAACCTTCAAAAGTACAGAAATTATTAATATTATTTCAAAAATTAATCCTCAATGCCACCTTCTACTTAATAAGTTCATATTGATTAGTATATCTTTGACTTTTCATCACTAACATCAGTTTGTCATTGTGTTATAACTGAGTTAAAAAAAAAAAAAAAACAAGAGTAGAAAACTAGAATTGGTTTAACAAGTTTATTACCTTTTGGTACAGGGAAACATAATGTAGAATAGAAACTAGGGAAGAGAATGTTTAGCTGTGAATGACTGTTTTCATCAAAGGTTACTGCTGCTACTGCTCCTCCTGCTACTCCTCTTGATGTAGGAGTATTTTTATGTCTTTTATCTGACGACTAAGTCCAAACTTGTAGGGAAATATTCTCCCTCACAACACATTGTCTCTTAAATTATAAGTTTAAGATAAAAATTATATAACTTATATAATCTTCAATTTTATATTAAATGTGCAGGTTAATAGAATCAAGAAATGGAAAATAAATTTCCGAGTTGATAGATTGATTGCCTGCATACTAATGATATATAATAGGGGTTTCTTAATAACCTTGTTATAGAACAAAGAAAAATATTATAATAGAGTTTAATTAGTAATTACAATTGGCAACCTGCATTATAAAGAGTTAATATCCAGTCGACTGACAGATTCTGAATGTGACAGAGATATCATAAGAAACTTGAGTGGATTTCATGACCAGATTCTAAAGAATTTCATGCTGAGATACAAAGGTCAAGAGTTTCAACTAATCAATCCTTCACAATCAGTGCAGACAATTTCAATCAAAATCTTTAACTATGTTCTTACAGTTTACAATATTCAAAAGAATGCGCCACCAACAAAGTATAATTAATGTAAATTAAGCAGCTGCTGCAAGAAACAAATTGGACTGTTTAGATTCCAGGACTAATGAGAAACTAAATGATTCACCAAATTTGATTAATTAGTGAGAAGGTGAATAGAGAAATCTTTTAAGTAATTTATGAAGTCAGGCAAGAAAAAATGTAAAATGCTGAAAATTTTACTCAGTTTGTGTCAGAAACAGCATCTGTCATAAAGATAAAAATCATAAAAATCTTCAAATACCAACAGCAATAAAATATATCATGGTTTGAAAAATTTAGTGGCAGATTTCAGGAAACGAGTCAGGACAAGAATATTTCAGCAACCCTTCAAGCATGTGTGTATGTGTGTGTTTGAAATTAAATCCAATTTAATATGTAAGTAATTAGGGGCATTTAAATGATAAAACTTCAGAATAAAATACTTTTAGAAAGGACAGGAAATTTTGGAGAGCCATGACTGTCCATATCCTGAAGAGGCACAGCACAGAGAAGAAGAATACTAAACATATACAAGTTCTATATATAAACACACACACACACACACACCATGTGTGCATGTGTGTGTTTGCATGTTTGTGTGGGAGACAATAAAAAGTTATTGTCTGATCTTTAATTAGAACAGATTTATTAGTAGACAAAGTATACCAAAAGGAACACAAAAATTTTAGGATTCCAAATTTAGTACTCAACATAGTTTCCCTCCTTCTAAATCATGGTATATCACCTTTACATGCCTGCGAAAATTACTTTTTTCATCTAATCATCATTGGTGAAACGACTGGCGTTAATGGGCCATGTTATGCAATTCCAGAAGCTCTTCATAGAGTCTGCCACCATTTCTAGGATCCACTTTGCAAAGCGCTTTGAGTAGCCAACAGTACTAAATTGTAGGAACTACCATGGCTCACAGCAAGGATTTCACAGTTTTGCAACAGTTATTATTTTGTTAGCTGTAATGAGAGGATCAGCTTGTTTGGCCTTATCTCCATTTACAGCAGATATTGGCCTGCCAAGTTCCAGAGCCTGTCATGAAGGTCAATTTTCCCTTTCCCTCTAGGATTGTCATTAAAAACTACTGAATCATCTCCTTAATATGCTTACATCATGTGCAACCTTTCCATAAACATTCATTAATCACTTGCAAATGTTTGAAGTACTTTCATCTTCCCAAAACAGAAATTTTACAATTCCACTTGGTTTTCCACTTGTGTTCAGAAGGGTAAACATTTTTAAAGAGGATTATGGGTAGGAAAAATGAAGATAACTCCACAAATTTTCTCATACTTTTCTTGACACTTTATAATTTCAATCCTGCAAAATTCAGATTCTGACTAATAATTTTAAAATCAAATTAGAACAGGCATCACTTTTTGCTCAATCCACAAACCACCTTACCACTATTTTTGATTTATGACAGAGCATTGACCTATTGGAAATAATCATCTTAGGACAGATGCTCTGTAGACATAAATTAAGGTATGTGATCAGCTACAATACTGAGGTAGGCTTCAGTATTTAAATGATTTTTTATTGGTATGAAAGATCCCAATGTATACCAAAAAATATTCCCCATACCATTACTGGTAGTAGGCTGAATCATTGATAAGAGGCAGGATAGAGCTATAATCTCATGTTATTTGTCATTTAGTTACTCATATTCAATTACCCATAGTCTGATATAGAGAATTTATATATAATATTCTCATATACATATGAATTTAAATATAATATTCACATATACATTCACAAAACAAGTTGAAATATCTAAATTATTAATACTATACTTGAAAATTTATCACTTTATTAAATTAAAAAATTCATTTGAAGTTTTTCACCGATTATCAAAAAAATCTTTAAGCATTACTTTCATGGATTGAACTCATGACTATCAGATGCTTAGTTTTTATTAAACCGTTGACATATATTATGATACATTTTCATGGTGGAACCTTGATGTCTTTTGTCTACCTCTTCAACTGAATTAGAATATATGACATTTTACTGTATAATCTGGTAAGGTGACAAATTTATTTTAGTTTTGAGTTTCTTTCTTAATTAAAAGTTACTATATGGTGTTCATTTCTATGCTAGGTCAACTGAGGTGGTTATATTATTATGGAATGTAAAATGTGAAAGAATTCATTAGATGATTAGAAAATTACATCTATATTATAAATTTCTCCATATATATATATACGAGATAATGATACATATTTTTATATATCAAGAACAGTATTGGAAAAATTATAAGACCATCAGTTACTCCTATGTATATTTTTTCTTTGTTATCTGATGATTTTACCATGGCTTCATATATTACATTGTTTTGTAAGCAATTGCCATTTAAGGAACATTAATTCTTTATTCTGTAGTTACATGTGGGTTTAATTTGTTCGGGTGGTTGGCTGATGGCTTTCTTGTTGTGCTTTTTTATTATTTGTGTCATGTTTTTGGTGCAACTGTAGGTGATTATACTATGTTTTTGTTGAATATTTTATGGAGAGTGCTTGATTCAGAGACATGTAAGAGTTTGATATTTTTTCTATGCTTGTTTTTATGTTTTTGTTGTATGGTGGGTTGAACTATATGATATTTCTCTTCTTATTGGCTTATCATCAGATAATTAAGAAAAAATATACATATAAGTAACTGAAGGACCCTGGAAACAAAGAAATTACACACATAAAACATCTTTCACAAATAGTAAATACAGGAACAGCACAATGCTTT